TGAACACAAACGAGGATGGTTGTTCGCTGATAGTGATCACAGAAGCCGATACACATTAGGCACCGCGAATTTTGCTCATGTCTTCATAGGAACCGATCATTCACAGGACTAGTTTTTAGCGTTTCTGTTTAATTATGATTTTTAATAGCATGTAACTGTTTCGTTTGAAATTTAATCAGTGAGAAATTTTCGATTATTTTATCGTTTTTTCAAAAAATAGTTATTTTCGCAGAAAGGAATAATTTTGCTAGTATTCTTTTTATCTAGGCCTGTCAGTCGTACTATTTAGTGCATTACTACATGTAATCCAGCCGTCATCTCTGATATTTCCTACGCTTTTTTTAAAACAAATTCTTTAAATCTTTAGCTGCTTAAATAATTATGGAACTTATACATATTTGTGAAATCGGATGGATAGTATAGGAATATTTTATAAAAATGTTCAGAATATTAATAATTATGCTTTTTGATTTCCTTGATGTTCGTTCGGAACATTGTGATCATCCATATTTTTGCGTAAGACTTCAAGAAATGTCAAAACGACATACGCATAAAGATAATTTCTCCGACACTGGAAAACCATTCGAAACAATTTTTCAAAATGGAATTTGAAAAAAAGAAATAAAATTTCTGTATATTTATTATTCCAGGTTTTTAATACTAACAATAGTTAGAATCACGTTTTTGTCAATATTTCTCTGGCGTTATTACGAACAATCGCCTCTATTCCTTCAACTTCAGCACACCAAGCGCCAATACGATCACTCATCGCCAGAATCTGATTTTAAAAATATTAAACAAATTCAAATACTAAATTCGACCCACTAGCAGTGTCGATTCTTTGCCAGGGTATAGTTTCCGTGGTCAATTCCATTTGAGATTTCACAAGTTATAGCATGTATTTCAAATATAAAGAAATCACCAATAACTGGAGTCAAAATATTTTAAAAAATGAAAAATTTAGGGAACAAAATACCAAGTGTTCATCTTTATTTAAAACTTAATATATAGAAGAAATTTAGAAGAAAGACGAAAATACCTGTTGTGGAGAAAGTACTCTTGGTTGTACCCACGTAATATTAACCAGTTCTTCCACTTGATCAATTGAACCCTGTACCAGCCCTTTGCTCAGTGCTCTCATTACCAAAGCCTCAACTTTATTTAGATCAATCTGGGCTTTGTCAGCAATTTCTTTAAATGAAATATACCGTTCCTTCGATGGGCGAGCCAAAGCAATCTGAAAATTTTATAAATGAAGTTTCGAAGTCCAAAAAAGTAAGATTATACGACTGGATCCACAATTATGAACTCAAAAAAAACAAGGCATAAAACAACATTAAATAAACTACTTACCTCCATTAAACTCAATATGCGAATTTTATCTTCCAGAAGATCCTGATGATCCTTAAGATCATCCCATTCAGCCCATTGTGGACGATATTCGTTAAATTTATTGAGATCACCAGCATTGAAAGCGTACAATACATCAATGATCCATTTTTCGCGAGTCCCTTCCAACGATTTCAAGATTGGATGTGCTAGCTTCAACAAAACCATGATTTATTATAAGAAAGATGGATGTGTGCTTACAAAATTTAAGCAAAATTTTTATTGTTTCGTAATTTATAGATCCTAATGGCATTTTACATTGTATTAATCACATGGTAGAGAGGTAGGTGTTAAGACTGGGAGATGTTAAGACTGGGAGATGAAATCTGAGTGATACCCGTCATGCACAAAATATTTAGCGTGAAAAGGATGATGAAGTGACTCCGGAACAAAAGTAACATGTGATTGTAAAGCCAAAAAAACAAAAACTCATCAAGGAAAGAAATCCTACCAATTCACCAAAATTGTAAACATTTTCGCCCAGTAGTGCAGCAAATCCTAGTAATACTGCTTGCAGCTGCTTCTCGGATTGCGATAACTTCGTCTGATCTTCACAACCCAAATAGCGTAAAGCTTCACGATAATAGCCAGCGTAATTTCCAATTTCCTTCAGATAAACAGATGAAACCTGAAAAGAGATTTTTACCAATGAACTATAGGTGAATCTGTAGATTTCACTTCTTTTTACAGAAGGAAATTTTAAATTTTTTAAAAGATATCTAAAAACCTTGTAAAAGGGTCCATGCACTGGTGTAACGCCGGGTAATTCATCCAGCAATACTTGAGTTTCTTCAATCATTTTCTGAAAAACAATAAAATCCTTCATAATGGAAAAAAGATAATCAAGAAATAAAACAAGATAATCAAATAATCAAACAATAATAACAATAATTTTCTTAAAAGCACTTGCTTCACTTATATATTCGAAACCACTTATGCAATTTTGAAACAATAAAAAAAGTTGAACGAAAGTAGGCAAGAGACGTAATTAGTACCCTCACGATTTGAATGTCGACGCAACGATCTTTGGAGTCTTTATGCATCAGGCGCAATTCAATCTGTCCCGTTCGCACACGCACTACTGCTTGCTTGTCTTTCGAAATTGTCTTCTCAATTTTATTCAAAAATGTAAATGCAGCATCTCTGTCTGCAATACACAAATCTAATAATTACATCCAATACTCTACAACAGTAAACTTCACCACTGTCATATCGGTCCACAATAATATTAACAGTTTAGATAACACCTTTGTCTGAATTCCTTAACATTAAACTTTTGCCAGTCTCACTTATTACACCTTATCCTATTTGCCGACATATTAAAAAAATTCCCGAGTTCAGATATTATTCATTTCTAGTTACTTAATCACTTTTGCTATGGATAATCAGGTTAAATTCCAACAAATAATTAAATCCAACGAAACAACTGTTTTGTTGTAGAACGAATCATATCTGTTCTTCCCTTTTCATTTTAATTCCTCAAATATTATTGTTCTCTATAATCAAAATTTGAAAAGGAAACACAAGATTTGCTAACCATTACGAATGCTTCTTTAATGAGAATAGCACGCAAAGCACTCAATAAAAAAGGTTACTCTCTATCAAAGCATGATTAAGCTCACGATTAATAAAATTCCTTACTTTTAATAAAAACTGATTTTGCCACTGGAATGACAATTTCAACAAGCTGCAAAGGATTTATTCGATGCTCAAATTCATTGATAAAATTATCATAAAAATCCTTCAAATCAATCGTCTGGATAAATGCATTATCATTTATAACTTTTCGCAATTCCACAGTTAACTGATGCCAAAGCCTGGAAAATCAATTGCGCATAGTTTACAAAGACGATATGAAAATCGAAGCTTGGGGATTAATTTGATGCGCAGTCCTGTTTAACAACTGCAAAGTAATGGGAAGATTATCTGCTAAACAAATTACACTTCCCTTAAACAAATATATCAAAAAGATTAATTTAAAAAGGAAATATAACCATAGCCATATCATGACAATATTCAAGATTGAGTTAAATAAAAAAGCAGTGGTATCTGTTGATTTTAGAAAGGAAAATCTTTGGGGCAAATATTAACTTATTAATTTGCACAGGCAATACTAACTTATTAATTTTTTTCACAGACAATACTAACTTATTAATTTCTTAAAGGCAGTACTTATTAATTTGATCTATACAAACTTTCTAGTAGTTGAAAAATATTCTCTCAACTTTACAATCTTTTAGTAACTTACTTTCAACTTTACAATGTTTTAGTAACTTACTTTAGATTTCGACACAATACAATAGTATTCCGAAACGATAAAACCTGCTTACTTTTTAAAGTAGAGTTGCTCGAGTTTCTGCCAAACATCAGCAATAACTTCATGAGAAATACTTTTATTTTTCACCAAATATGCTTCAACTCTTTCTGACATTTTCTGATAGTTCGTTCGATTACTATTCACTTTTGCAGTAACTTAAAATATAAACGTAAATGTCTCCAAATCATTTATATTAGGACAAATAAAAGCAATCAGGTGGAATGCAAAAATTTTTTCCTTGAAATGAGAAAAAAAAAGGTATCAAATGGCACTACTAAAGACACAGAACTACTTTCACGACAATCTAATGCTACCACACAATTCTCTAAGTAATATAAACGTCGGATAAATTGAAAAATGGACATCTCGAGAAGGATTAATCGTAAAAACCAAAGTATATAGGTCAAGTTATTGATGAACAACGATTTCAACTCCCCCTGCCACACCTCAGATAAATATCATCGAGATTATCTGAAATAGTTAAAATAGCAACTCAAATTTAAACCCAACAAGAAAGTTTTATCGCGGGAAGTTTAAATACTCCTTTTGTTACAGAAGGTCACTGATTGCCAAGTCTGTAAAAACTGTCAAACAGGCAAGTATCGCGAGGTGTTTGGCTAGGCAACTATCCTAGATGTTGCTGTACTCGGAATGTTTGCCTAGGCAACTATCCTAGATGTTGCTGTACTCGGGACATTTGGATCTTTGAGCGTTTTATTAAAATGCCAAAAGAATCCCATTTTATAAACTCTCTCAGTCCATTCTGTCTTTTTAGCAGTTGTGCTGTTTTTTTTTTACTTCCAATGTCTAACAATACTCCATCTATTGATATTTCCATTTATTCTCATTTAGTTGCTAATTAGGTAATATTGAATTTATCTATTCTTTTGTCTCTCAAATTGGCTATCAATTTTTAATTCTCACTATATCACCTCTTTTATTAGTGATATATTAGCTGGACGTATGTCACTGTCAGTTTATTATAGATATTGCCGGAATTAATTGTCATCATCATTTATCAATAATGTCGCCTTAATTGATGTCAATTTATTAGTATTACGGTTGATTAAGGTAGATGCTTCCAATATTAATGTGAATTGACTATAAACTAAGAAAGCGTACTGATTAGCCTTCTTCCATCCTTATTTTTACTTCCATTTAATATTACTTGCAGTTTGTGTAACTCTTCATCTTTGCCTTTCACTTCTTATTTTCATATCATATCATTATTATTATTATCATCAATTTTGTTGAAATATCCAAAATTTATGCAAAAATCCACTTTATACTTTAGATGGAATTGGAAGATGACTCATCAACCTTGCGATCATCAATACGCAGTCGTCGGTCATCAAGATTAAGCACTGTTAGCAGTGAGGTGAGAATTGTTATGGGAAAAGTAATGGCATAAGGGGAAAAAGCATTTTGGTATAGTCTTTAACTTTGAGACAACTTACTCGACCCCTTGTCATTTCTCTCATTTCACATATTATCACTTTTGCGATTGTGCTCGCTACTGTTATTTTCATTAATAGTAGTTTTCAGTCTAATATAAGATATACTATGATTCTCTTTATAAGTAACCATCGTGTACATTATTTTCAGACTAGCGATAAAAGGCGTTCTCTTCGTGGTCGACGTTCAAGCATGTCTGTAAAAGAAGTTGTAAACGGTATTGAGATTACTGTAAGTCCAGTTTCAGAAAAGTTCAAAAGTTGAAGTACAATATTTGTACGGTACTGATTATCATTTTTTATTGAAGTCAAGTTTAA